ATCGGGGATGTTTTTTGGGGGGGGGGGGGGGGATTTCTACATTCAAGCCTAACTCACACAAGACCTCTGTGCAACGTAATGATTTCCTCTTCTATTCACTCTCCAGCACCAAGACCTTAGCACGCAGCAGCAGAATGCCACACAAAAAGCTCTCCCAATCACTCTTGTTCCTATGGCAACTCTTCCTCCTCCTCCTACTCTGCCCCCATCATGTTTTTAGATGAAACAACAAAATACAAACTGAAATACTGCGAGTGCCCACGGCGCTCTGGACAATGCACCAGAAAAGTTTGCAGAAATTAAAAACCCCGCTTCTGCATTGTGACATTTTCACTCAGGGTTGTAATGTCATCCATTAGTTGCTCTTGACAAGCCATGGTCCAGCTTGAAAGAAGGTGGAAATGCCAGTAAAAATGCAGAGAACCATCTCATTAAAAGCTCAAAGCCTCAAACTATGGAGAGCTTCCATAAAAACCCAGGGGGTGGTTAAACCCTGAAGCGGGGAGAGAAGTTAGTAACATTTTGTGAAGGGTCAGAAGGTCTTTGTGGGGGTCTGATCTTCAGCCAAAGTCCAGTCAGCTCCCTCCGTGCTGTTGGACACACCCGAGCATGGCAGTAATGACCCTCTGAAGCCCCAAACCCACGCGATTTAACAGCAAAACAGGGCAGCTCCTCATTGCCATGACAAGCCACTCAAGCTGGTGCCAAACCTCCCGCAGAACCTCCCTCCCCAGTTTTGACCATGACAGACATATCACTATCAAAAGCCCTTACAGTAAACATCAGCTGACAGCCTCCCAGGATGTAGTCCAGGAAGGAGAAATCTCTGGTTATCTGCAAGAAAAACAACAAAACAAAAAGTGTTTCCGCAATCTTCACCATTGCAGAACAAAAAAAAAATAAATACACAGAAAATGCCCAAGCCTGCGGTCACTGCGAGTGTGGGCCTTCAGGGACCTCCAGCCACATGGCAAAGCAGATGGGAAGAACCGCTTGGGTCTCCCACAGTGGTGTTTTGGCACTTCATGAGACGCTTGGGGCCAAGCAGGGCCATGTGTTGGTCAAGGGCTGTGGTGGGAGGCCTGCACAGGGCTTCTTGAGAGCTGGAAGTGTCCACCATGGGGAACTGAATGGAAGATCCTCTCCCCATGGCCAAAACGGTCTCACACCACCTGCAGATCTGGTGCACGAAGAGCTGTGTTACCACTTTCCCCGCTGTGCTGCTGCCACACGAAGGGAGGACTTCACCAATGCCCCAGCTCAGAAGAAGGACCTCTCCCACCTGCCCCCAGCCCTTGCCCCCAAGGAGACGCTAAGCAAGCAGCTGGTAGGTGCCCACAGCCTGGGCTTCATGTGGATGCTGCCCATGTCGAACGCCACCTCCTCTTGGGTCTGTAGCCACCTGGGTGTGGGGTGGCACCAGCAGCTTGGTGCATCAGGTGCTCCAAGTGGAAAGAAACCCAAGCAGAAAGGAAACCACGCTGTTATTGATGCTCCACAAGTCCAGCACGTGGAAACACAATGGCGCTGGAGGCAGCAGGGACGAGGGGAGCTCTGGAAGACCCAAGCTTGGTGAGGAGCAGAGGGGAACATCCTGGCCTCGTACTCACTTTGCAGGACTTGACAATGATGATCCCAGAGTTCTTGTAATTCTTTTTCTTCTTTTGCTTTTTGGGGTTAATGCACTCTAGCTCGAGCTGTAACATACAAGAGACAGACGCCGGTGTGGGAGTGGTGCTGGGCTGTGCCAGTGGCTGCAGATGCCACCAGCGGCCGCATACTGCGGGCACCCTCCCTCCAAGCGTTTCACAGTGCTGAAGAGACAGAAATGAATCACAGCAAGCTACTGCTATTTACTGATGGAGATGGAGGCACAGGACCTGCTTGGGAAGAGGACGCTTTTCCTTCCCAGGGGCTTCCATCATGCTCAGCGCTGGGCGCGTGGCAGCCGAGACACCCCAATGAGGCTACAGGGGTCTACAGGATGGGATGGGTCAAACACACAAACAACTAGGGCAGGCCATCACCTTTCCTCAAAAGCTCTGGGAAATGCCTCTGGAATATTCAGAAAATTGCTCCAATAATTCAATCTAAAAAAAAAAAAAATCTAAAACTGAAAAAAACTCTCGTCCAAGAAGAAAGTTTAAATGCGGGTTGGTCTGGGGGAGGAGGCAGGACTGGGCAGGGGGAGCACGGAGAGAAAGTCGTGTCCATTCTTCCAGCTGCAGAACAACGGGAACATTTTAAATACTAAAATCCTTAAGTTTCCTGATTGTGAACGTTGCATTTCACAGACTGAACAAAATAAAAATACAGATCCATCAACAAATCCCCTAAGTCTGAACAAACCCGGGCAGACGGTCCAGCCCAGACCTGCTTGTGGGTAGCTCCCACATGGGTCAAGCATGGGACAGTGGTGGCCAGTCTGTGCCCCCATTCTACTCAGACCAGTTCAGTGATGGCCCCAGACCTGCTCAAACCAGCTCATTGATGGCTCTGGACCAGCTCAGACCATCCATTGATGGCACTGAACCTGCTCAGACCAGCTTGGTGATGGCCCCGGACTTGCTCAGACCAGCTCAGTGATGGCCCCGAACCTGCTCAGACCATTCAGTGAAGATCCTGAACCCACTCAGACCAGCTCGGTGATGGCCCTGGACCTGCTCAGACCAGCTCGGTGAGGGCCCTGGACCTGCTCAGACAATCCAGTGATGGTCACCTGGTCTTCAGCAAGAGCATCTCTATCCCTGTTCCTGTATTTACCCTCACCAGCATGGCCACACGACGACAGGTCACCAGGAGCCACCCCAGGGAGAAGGGATGCTGATGAGCGATAGGCAGCAGCGGTGAGTACCAGCTGCTTGCTTCTGGAGCCACCTTTGTCTGTCCAGAGCTCGCAGCAGCTCCGCTTGGAGAGCAGCGTGAGCTGGTGACAACTTCACTGGGGAAGGGAGGGCACCCGACCCCTCCCGACAAGCCAAGCGAGGCAAAGAGGCAGAGAGAGCCCATCCCTGCTGCAGCACATCACACCTCCCCCCCTGACCCCCCCACAGGACAGGGCAACCCCCCCAGATCACGGGTGCCGCTTCAAACGTCTCAGCAGAGCTCTGCTTTCAGCCAGGACCACCTTAGCCCTCTCTAGCTCAGATGCTTTAGCTGCAACTGTGGCCTGGGTCACTCATGGTGCGGGTGGGAGGAAAAAGGAGGTTGGACTTGGCTTCTTCTCAAAAACACGTTGAGGGTCTCAGTGCAAGCACCAAAATCCACCGCCAGCCCCAAGAAGCCCCGTGCAAGCACCAAAATCCACCGCCAGCCCCAAGAAGCCCCTTCCTCGTTCTTCCCCAAACACATGCCAGCACTCACCGGAAAGGCATCTTGGGCTTCACACATCCTGGCCACTGAGGTCTGAAACTCCCCGATGAAGTCATGTCCCCCATCGCTGTCGTAGTCGTAACATGTCACCTAGGGTGGAAGGAGCACAGCCAGCCTTAGATGCAGCAACTATCTCCTGGAGCTGCCAACCTCTCCTGTTGGAGACCCCAAACAAGGTTTTGGTTTGTTTTTGGGGGTGGTTCTGCTTTGGTTTGTTTGGTTGTTTTTACAAATAACCCAGCCATGGAGTTTTAGATGTTTTAACGATCGATCCCAGAGGCCAACCACCACGATACAAGGTGAAGGGCCCCCTGTTACCTTTATCAGCTTCTCTACATCTCCATCGCACAGTGACACCAAAGGCACAGTGAACGGCTTCCAGACTGGGTCCAGCGTGTACTTGATCACCTGCGGGTGGGAGCAGAGGGATGCCGTCACAGCGGGCACATGTGGAAGGGGAGATGATTGGCACAAAGAGGGGACACATCTCCAGGAGTGACTGGGTTCTCAGTGGGGCAGGCCAGGCAAGCTGCAGAAAGCCCCATCCCAGCCCTCTTCTGCCTCCTTGGCTTGGACGCCGCAGCTCCCCCTTCTCAGGCTGTAGCAGTGTGAGTTACAACAGATTTGCTTAGAATCATAGAAGAGAATCATAGAAACATTAAGGCTGGAAAAGACCTCCAAGATCATCAAGTCCAACCGTCACTCCAACCCCACCACGCCAGCTAAACAATGTCCCAACATGCCACATCCACACGTTTTCTGAACCCCTCCAGGGGTGGGGACTCCACCACTGCCCTGGGCAGCCTGTGCCAACACCCGACCACTCTTTCAGGAAAGACATTTTTCCTCATCTCCAATCTAAACCTCCCCTGATGCAACTTGAGGCCATTTGCCCTCGTCCTATCGCTGGTTACTTGGGAGAAGAGACCAACCCCTGCCTCACTACAACATCCTTTCAGCATGCTTGCATCACATTTGGTGACTTAACGGCCTCCAGGGGTAATTAAACAAACCTGTGCCCTACTCATTGCTTACTCCCCCACCCCCCCAGCACCCCAGCGCAGCCTACACCCATCTGGGGTCTGAGCACTGAGAAGATGGAGCAGTAGGATGGGGCAACCAGCCAGGAAAGCCAAACACCCCTGGGCACATCTAGTGCTCTTGCCTCATCTACACATCTGCTGCCCAAGCTGGAGAAATATTAATTGATGCTTTTTGACATTTCCTGAGAGAACGCAATCACAGAATCATTAAGGTTGGAAAAGACCTCTAAGATGATCGAGTCCAACCATCACCCCAACCCCACCACGCCTGCTAAACCATGTCCCAAAGTGCCACATCCACACGTTTTCTGAACCCCTCCAAGGACGGTGACTCAACCACTGCCCTGGGCAGCCTGTGCCAACGCCTGGCCACCCTTCGTGGAAGACCACTCACTCGGTGGAAACCTAAGCAAACGCTAGCAGGCTCCAGGCACCTGCTGCGTACATTGGAGATGCCTGCAGGAAAGGTGAAGACCCTCTTTCGCAAAGGTGCTGTGCTCAAAAAGAGAGATCCCCGTGAATATTAGGAAGGTCAGGCACGGGCAGCAGATTAAGCCTTCTCTGTGCAAGGGGGATGAGATGGTGTGGAGAACCTTGGAGCTCTGCAGCCGGAGCAGCAGCAGCACAGCCCAGTGAGGACGAGTCCGTGGGTGCTGCTGCTGCAGGCAAGAGCAGGGGGGGCCCACGCCCCCCGAGCTGGTGCCCGCAGGCTGCCAGCCGCAGGGTCCCCGGGGTGGGTGGGAGGGATCCGCCGTCTCTGTTGCACGGTGCCCAGCTGGGTGCTGGCGATTAAATCACAGGCTGTAACGAGCGCAGTCATCCTCCCCTGCCAGACACCTCCGTGGTGGCATGAGAAATGCCAGCATCAGACCGAGCGCTGGTTATATTCCCGCACCGAAAGCTCTAAGAATGGGGGACCTTATTTCTTTGTATCCAGCCTCAAAACACAAAGCTGCTTGCCTGGAACAGGATTCCTCCAAGGGCTGGGAAGGAGGAGGCTGTCAGAGCACCCATCACTTGAAATAAAACCTGGCCAGACCCTTATCCGGCGAGACAGGACAGTGGAGGAACCAGGCAGCAACCCAGATGAAAAATCAGTAGATACCTCTGCTCCCCAGAAGCCTGGCCTGCTTGTAGAGGTCTCAGCGATGGCTGGTGCACAGACACGCTCCCGATTCCCACCCCTCTTCCAGAGGGAAGGGCTGGAGGTCACTTGAAATCCCCATGCCCGAGAAACACGTCTCAGTGAGCCAAAGCCCAGCTACCCACACTAAACCGGGAGGAAACAGCCAAACAAGGTCCCAGCCCGCTTCCCCAGAAATACAAGAGAAATGTTAAGGTTGGTGTGAATTAAAGATGCACAGAAATGTGTGTGGGAAAGCACGGAAAAATCAACAGCAGAGGTAGGATTAAAAGGATGGCCCGCATCGGTACCACAGGATGCATGGTGGTACACACGTCCCGGTGCTCATGTGCACGTGGGTGTGCGAGTGAAGGAAATCCTCCTGGACTTTGTCCAGCAGTGGGAAAACCAACGTACGTAGAGACTTTGTGAATAAATACCATCCTCTCCTTCCACCTGAGTTCACGCTGGTCTGTTACAGCAATTTGCTGCGGTGGGACAGCGGGCTCTGTAACGAAGCCTTGAGGGGACAGGGAAAGGAGGGACGTGAACGGGGAAAAAAGGGCGGTGCAGTGGGGTGGGATAGGATGGGATGGGACCCTCTTCCTCCGACACAGGGCTTGCTGTGAGCCCCTCCTGCAGCGATTGCCCCCTCCTCTTTCTGCCAGCTGCCAGGAGCTACGAAAAAAAAAAAAAAAAAAAGGCAAAAAGCCTTGAAACAGGCTTTGAGGAGCAGGAAAAAAAAAGCCATTGAAGAGTACTTATTCGCCTGGTGCCAAAGCAGAAGTCAGCCTGCTTCTCCCTGCCCGAGCTGTGCCTCTCGGCTGTAATATCGCTGGCTTTAGCAGCTTGGGAACATCACCAGATCAAAATGTCGCAGCAGGTGTAAATGAAGGACAGGGAGGGGTCAGCTGTCTCCGACTGTATCCACCAGGACCCCAGTACAGGCGTCTGACCCCTGGCCGGGGCTCCAGCTCTGTTAGACACCAGCCTGAGTGCTCATGCCCTGAAGCTGGAGACCTTGAGCATCCTCCCAGGTTAGCTGAGGATCTGGCAGATGCTCTTTTCAACCTTTCCCCACTGCTCTCCCCCTTGGCCACCCCTCGCCACCATCTCCCCAGGTCACAGCTCATCCTGCTGCTCCTGCACGTGAGGCAGAGCAGTCCAGGGCTGAGCCAAAAGGTTAACATGGGTCAGAAGACCATCTCCTTCTCTGCTTGATAGATACAGTGGTGAGCGGTACAGAAAAGATCTCAACACCTGACTGGCACCAGTAAATCTTCATCTGGTGGAGTCCAGCAGCCTCAGATGGACACCGCGAAGGCAGCCGTGAGGTTCTGAAACCCCTGGATCCCACCCCGCTTTATGGGTGATTGATGAGATGGTGCCATAAAGGGCGAGAGGAGCTGATGGAAGCATGGTGGTGTCTCAGCAGCTTGGGTCAGAGCCGCACTCACCTCTGTTCTGTGGACCAGCATCCATTTCCCATCGTCACCTGGTTTATAAAACTCCAGGAAGGGGTCTGACTTTCCAAACAGGTCCTGGGGGAGAAGAAGATGAGTTACACAGTGCTCTGCAAGCAGAGACCACCAGTGTGAGAGAGACCTCCTTCCCTGGCAAAGCCGACCCTGCAGACACCCTCACATCCTCATGGGACCAGCTCAGGCACACTGGCCCAGAGGCAGCACCCACGGGCAGCACCCTGCCAGCTCCCTGTGTCCTGCTCATGTGAATCCCACTCCTTCACGCCGTGTTTTGGCACGGATGCGGTGGGCGGGTTGGCACCCTGGCACGCGCCCCGCGTGGTGCCCACCGCCCGGCGAGCTCTCTGGATGCAGACGCCACGGAAAACATCCCCAGCTGGGAGGCAGCTGCGTTTGGGCTTGGAAAAACACCCAAAGCTTCAAAGGAAAAACAGAATTATGAAGCGTGTGAGTGTCTTGGGGGGAAAAAGGAAAAAAAAAAAACCAACCCACCCTCCTACACACAGCAGTAAAGCATGAGCAGAGGAAATCTTTAAGGAGTGAGCTGCCCTGGTGTTGACAGAGATCACGTAACACTCTCCGAGATATGCAGCCCTGAGTCAGCGCGCGCTGCCTTTCCTGCCAGCGTCGCCTCAGCTGTTCCCCTGACAGTGGGCTGCTGGTTTATGAGAAATATGTTCGAGTGCACAGGCTGCCCTGCTGGGTATCGGCACCGGGGCTACGTCGGGGGACCCCCAGCCCGGCGAGGAGGGCAGCGCTGGCGGCACCGACACACGGAAACCCCAGCGTTTCTCAGCAGAACTTCATTCCCATTCAGATAAACGAAGACGTGGCTAAGAAGAAACCAAGCCCAAAATATTCCAAATTCTTTACCAAGAGCTGAAGCCATTTCAGCCTAGTTTTCCTGCCAGAGGGAGGCAGCTGCCCGAGTTCTGCAAAGAGCTGGAAGAACTTCTTACAGGCTTGAACGGCGGCTTTCGGGCTTCCAAGTGCTGTGGTAGGGATGCAGGGGGCTGCTCGTGGAGGAGGAGGAGGAGGCTTGGATGCCCCAAGAGCCCCTGTCCACAGCCAGCTCAGGAGGTGGCAGCTGGGACAGGGACAGGCTCTAGCGATGCCCCAGCAGAAAAACCCATTAACATTTCTATCCAAATCCTGTTTCCAAAGCCAGCCGGAAAAGTACATCACTGCAAAGTGTTTTGGCTTGGAGAAACTACAGCCTGCTTCAGTCAAAATTCTCCTGCCAGCAGAGCAGACGCAAAGGCTCGCAGGGGTGCTCTCCGATGAGATGAGGCTATTTTTCTCCTACGCTTTTTCACATGTTTGTGCGAGAGAAAACCAAGGCGTTCTTTCTGCGGGGTTACAGTTATGGCACAGCTCTGACCCTGCTCGCCGCAGGACTTGGCCTTTTCGAGCTTCACTGATGGACTGAAGAACCAGTGGTGGGTACCTGACCCTGCCTGTGCTGGCCTCACCTCAGTGTGGGCTGGTGGAGGCCCCGGCTCCGGTGGCAGCAGCAGCGAGCTTTGGAGGAGCTTTTGGAGCTTTTGCCATCCCACACGGAACAGTCTGGTTTGCAAGTCTGGTCAGCCTTGCTCCGTTCACAGCAGGGTGGGAGATGCCTCCAAGCCACAGGACTGTGGGCTGCTGTTTTAAAACATCAAAACCACGATCCCCCGCAAGCCTGGCGGGAGATGGAAACTGAGCAACCAAGGGAGCTCAGCAGACCAGATTGATTTGCAAACCGGTCCAAGCATCTAATCCATCCATCCAACCCATCCTGGAGAAGGAGGGTGGAGGTGGCACCTCCACCAGCCACAAGCCCCCACGCCACC